TTAACTATTGATTAGGGGTCCCAACGTTCTCGTGAAAAGTATTCAACCATCTTCAGACTTTTGAGTAAGAATAGCCATGCCACTCATGAATGACTTTACCATTGTCGTGAAAAGTGGCCATAAATCTATATTACAAAAATAGGTATGTATTATCATTGATTAAATAATTCTTAATAATAATTGTACTCTATTATGATTAAATTATTCCATAATCTATTATATTATTAAATAAGATAAATATTATTAAATATTATTGAATAAGAGAAGACATTTAATAACTGATCAACATTTTGAGATGACTCTTTTATTGAGAATCAATAGGTATATTGATTAACCTCTCCATTGTATTATTAATTGAAGTTAAGTTAAGTTAACGAAAATTTGTAACTTAATTTTTAACTGAATTGATGTAATTCTCATGTGCATTAACTTAATTGCTAACTTAATTGAACATTAACTCAATTAACTTAATCGAGTTTAATAATATCATTAACTTGTCCAGCCTTTATCTTTTTTGATGGAAATAACAATAATAATGACACGTGTTAACACTGTTAACTATTAAAAGTAAATGTACTATTCTACTATCACCATGTTAATCATGTGGCCCGCAATGCCCAATTCATGACAATCATATTAGTCAATCTCATTTATAGCCGGTTTCGGTTGTCACACTATACCTGATATAGTTGAAAATAACCAACTATTATAAATTTTATTTGAGTGAGATTACTATTGACCGTGCTGAGAAATGATACTCGATATAAGTAAATTATTGTAAATTAAAATGCTTTATACTAAAGGCATTATTTATTATTTATTAATATAATTAATATATCATCTAAGCACCGATACACACCATCACGGTATTGGAAGATAAGGTCGGAGCACTTCCCTGTTTATAACGATAATCTATTTGGTCGCTTAGAAAGGACATTTTAGTTGAGCTTTTCACCACTATTTTATTTGGTGCCTCTATCAAAACTTTATTAAGTTGATTTGTTGATTACGGTTATTTATATGTTTTTTTTTACCCAAAATGATGAACTTGAAGCCCAATGAGAAACTAATCTCGGGATAAAACTTAAAAATAATTTTAAATCAAATGATATAGAGTGACACAAGTGATTAAAAATATCATTATTGAAGTATTATATTTACTGTGAGTATTCAATTTACAAAATGTCTTTCTCGTTTTCATATTCTCTGACATACATATCAATAGTTAATATTTTACAAAAATAGGTATTAATTGGCAAATAATGTATTAAGGATATTTAAAAATATTCAGTTTTAAATATAATTTTGTACAGATGGACCTGTCTAAAACAAGGTTTATCATAGGTAAGCCTAATTCTGTTTCTATTAACCCCCTGGATAGTACATCGATGAATAAAAATCATGATTATATTAATGTTTAAATAAGCAAAGTATACACCGCAATAGAAGACCATTTTTTGCTTTATAAATATTAGTGATGGGAAAAATCCGGATTCGCTGAAGTTTGAAAATCCGGATTTTTAAAGTTAAATCCGGATTTTGCATTGAATCCGGATTTCAGATTTGAAAACATTGAATTAGTATTCTTTCAAGAATTATTTATAGTCCATCCCGTAAAACAAATTTCCCTCCACCTCACTCTGTTTTCAGCTATTTCTCTCCAGTTTGTTCTTGGGTCTACTTCTTTTACTTCTCTCCTCACACAGTCTTCCCATCTGAGGCGTGGTCTGCCTATTGGTCTTTTCCCTTTCGGTTCCTCTTTAATTACTGTATTTATCATAGCTTCTTTTTTCCTCCAAGCGTGACCTGCCCACAACAGTCTTCTTTTTGCGACTTCCCTTGAAATACTTGGTCTTTGGAACAAGTTATACACTTCTTCATTGGTTCGAATTCTCCATTCTTTGGTTCCTGTGTCGAGACAAGGTCCATAGATTCATCTTAAAACTTTTCTTTCAAATTTGTCCAATCTTATTTCCTCTATCTTTCTTGAAGCCCATGTTTCTGACCCATATAGGATGACAGGGCGTATTAATATCATATATATTTTTATTTTTAAATTTAGAGATATTGATCTAGATATTAGCAGGGTTCCAAAACCAAAATAGCTGTTGTTGGCCAGTTGTATCCTCTTTGAAATCTTTACTTTTAACTGTCCTGAGTTAAGAGGACACCTAAGTATTTAAGTTGTGGAACCCTGTGAAATATATGTCCATCTACATTCATACTTTCTCCGTGACGATACGTCCTGTTTCTTCTGTCGAGTTTCATATATTCCTCTTTTTATCATTTATTCTGAGACCGAATTTATTCGCAGCATCCATTAATTTCTTACAATGTATTTTAACTATTTCAATATTGTCTCCTATAATAGCAATATCGTCGACATTTGCTGGAAAGTCTATCTTTGATAGTCCTAAGGTTATACCATCTGATATGTTCATATCTTTGACCACCTTTTCCAGAACTAGGTCAAAAAGGATTGGAAATAATGCATCCTTTTGTCTTAAATCAGATGTTACTTTAAACGATTTAGTTGTAGAGTTCGCTATTTTTATTTTTATTTCAGAATTTTCCATAGTCGCTTTAATCAGGTTAATTAACTTTCTTAACATATTGAACTCTTTTAATATATTAAATAGGGTTGGTCTATGTATAGAGCGTATGCTTTCTCAAAGTCTACAAACAAGGTATAGACATCCTTATCAAACTCCCACATTTTTTCTAATATATGCCTTATAATAAATATTTGATCTGTTGTAGATCTATTTGGTCTAAAACCTCTTTGGTAGTTTTCCAGTATTCCTTCGGAGATTGGTTTAATTCTATTTAGGATGCAGTACGATAAAACTTTGTATGTTGTATTGAGTAAGGCAATGCCCATATAATTGTTGCACTCGAGTGGATCGTTTTTTTTATAAATCGGATACACTAATGTGGTTATCCAATCTTCCGAGATTTTTCTTTTTTCCAGACTAATTCTACTAGGTTATGTATATTAGATATGGCTTCTTCATCTAAACTCTTTAGAATCTTAGTCTGGATTCCATCTTCACCCGGAGTCTTATGATTTTATAGCCTCTTAATTTGTTCTGCTATCTCAATTCTGGATAGTGGGAGGTATTCGATTTCGTTTGTTTCTACGTCAGTCCAAATGAATGAGTCTATAGGTTCGTCACAATTAAGGATGTTCTCAAAGTAGTCTTTCCATTTATCCAAGATATCGTTTGGGTCTGTAATCATTGTACCATCGCGATTTTTTAAGAACTTTTCTTGTTTCTTGAATCCTTTTTTATGGGCATTGATATTTTGGAATAGCTGACGTGACCTATTCATTTTTTGGTATTCTTCTGTTTCTTCTAGCATGTTCTTCGTGTATCTTCTCTTTTCGTATCTGATTATATTGTTTACTTCTTTATTGCATATTATATAGTTATTTTATTTTTCTACGTTGTCTGTATCACTGAGCCACTGTATTCTACTTTCTTTTTTCCATTTTAGGGCTCTCCTACATGTATCGTTAAACCATGGTTTATTCGATTTTTTTTGTTTTCTATTACAGCATCAGATGTTTTGTTTATTATATCCTTAGCTTTATTCCACATTTCATCTATTGTGACTATGCTGTTAAAGTCGCAGTTATTAAAATCTTGACGTATTTTATGTCTGAGGATATTTACACAATTTGGATGATCCAGTTATGTTACATTATACCTGGTAAATTGTTCCATATTTGTATGAGGGCGTTTTTTGAGTTTTATTTTCATTTTTCCTCTTATGAGATAGTGATATGAGTCCGAGTCTGCTCCTCTTATCAATCTGACATCTTGGATACAATTTTTATATCTTGAACTGACCAGAATATGGTCTATTTGGTGACCTCCATGTCCCTTAATGAATATTTTTATATGGGTACATTGTACTCTTTATTACTAAACCATTCCTGGTTGCCAAGTCAATTAGTTTAAGTCCATTGTCGTTTGTTTCATCGTGTAGACTGTGTTTTCCTGCCACTTGTCTAAACATTGTTTCTTTTCCAACTTTGGTATTTAGACCTCTTAGAATAATTTGTATCTTATTGCTAGGAATCGAGTTCAGCGTACTTTCCAATTGTTCATAAAAATTTTCTTTCTAATCTTGAGATTTGTCCTCTGTTGAAGCATGTACATTCATGAGGCTTATATCGAACCATTTAGCTTCTATTGTTAACATGCTTATTCTATGGTTAATATCTTTGAATTCTTTAACTACAGGGACTAAATCTTTGTGTACCACAAAACCCGTTCTTAGTTGACGTTGATCAGTACAGCTATCATAGAAGATAGTTGTCTCGTTCATATTTATCGTCCCTGTATTGGTCCATCTAATTTCTTGTAGTGCTGTTAATTTGACTTTATATTTTTCAACTTCATTCACTATGTTGTGAACTGCTCCAGATTTGAATAGTGTGCGTACGTTTTCCTTTTTCCGTTTTCCAGTCAATTTTCCAAAAACTGCCCCGAGGCAAATTTGCTTGATCCTGAACATGCTGTTTTTTACTATGTAGGGTTGTTAACCCTACGCTAAACTCCCTATCAGTAGGACCAGACCACACCAACTAGTTAAAATCAGTGTGGGGCTATTGCAGTACACAATGGGTTGTATTGGGCGATGGACGCGCCACTTTCCCCAGGCCGGGAAATAAAATAAAAATAAAAATAATAATTTGTTAAGACCAAAAATATCAATGCATATTAGTGTAATGAGAGCTGTTAAAGCATTTAGTTATATAATTGTAAAATTAAAATTTGGTAATAATTAAATAGGTAAAATATCTATTACTTATGATTTTTTTAATAATTTAAATTGTTTTTTTTTAAATATATTTAAAAAATGTATATACAGTTAAAATTTAAAAAAAAAATGTGATTTATTATTTGTATGAATGAGTAAATTAAAATAATATGAATAAGTATCTAATTTTAAGTTGTTTATGTAATAATTTTGTATCAGTAGCTAAATAACAATAGGTTAATAACTTGTGAAATATAAGTTATAATAATTTGTAATTTAGAAATGAGGTAGTTATTTAAATATCAAAATGTATGAAATATATTTTACCTGAAGAATATCCACTATGTTTTTTAGCAATTCTAGTGTTTGAAGACACAGCTAATGAAACAGCTAACGTTATTTAAAATACATAGCCCAAGAGATTTGACAGTATTATAGATATTAATAACTCGGGAGGAAGAATATGATGAACCCCAAGACGGGTGGAAGGAGCTAATGTCACCACATAGTAAGGAAAACAGAGAAATAAAATTGAACAATAACTGCCATAGATCCATGGAAATATATCACCGGGGACGTAGCAAGACCATATGGAAATAGAGGGAAAATATTTGGACTTTAATAATTTAATGCCAAAAATATTACATTTTTTTCTGTTAAAAGTTTTATTTTGTTAAAGGATCGAGAGTAATCATCTTAAATTTGAAAGAACTACGATCCGCTATAGCAGAACCAGCATAATCATCGAGCTAAAAATATTAAATTCAAGAATGATAAAGGCACGAGAAGGAAGTAACCATGTTTTAGAGAGCACAGCAGTGGAGCACTTGTATTGAACAAGTAAATTCTGTAAATAAATAATTTGAGTAGGGAGACTTCTGATATTCCATTGTAAAATATCTAGAGAAGAGAAAGAGTTGTTAATACGTGATAAAGACATTAAAAAAAGAAAAATTTAAAAATTGGAAAAATAATATATAAAGGAGTTCTCAAGGATTGATGTTGTTATAGAAACAGAGAAGAGAGAATGAAACGATGATTTAATTATGTTTTGAAAAGTTAATCATTACACTAGAGATAGTAATTTAGGAGAGTTAATTAGAGATTTTAATAATTTAAGAGACAGTGGAAGAACCCAAAAAAATCTTTAAGAATTTATGCGAGTGGTTGTGAATTGAGCGTAATTATAAAATAGCTACCGTTAAGCAAAGGTTATAGAGACTCACGAAGAAGATAAAATGTTTTTAGTGAGAGGAGTTTTAATTCTTTTTTTTTCCAGCGTTAAAGAAGTGATCACTTGGTTTTAAATTAAGAAAGTTAAAAATTTTTAAAGAAGTCGGGACAGATGAAATTTGGATTGGGAATGACTGTCTTTTTTTTTACGATTTCATACTATTTAAAAGCAGAGATATGAAAGTAGTTTTTCTTTAAATCTAATGCCTCACGATATGATATGTTTTTGATTGCCTTTTTTTTTTTAATTTATCTTTGAAATAACCATTCTCGGCAACTATGATTGGTTGCGAGATGAGGAAGATTACGAAAAATTAAAAAAATTCGGGTCCGTATCATGAGCCGACGGATAAGTATTGAAAGAGTGATCATCCCACAAATGTTACATCTCGGATTGTTGAGTGTGGCAAAAACGTAGACAACGATTACACTGAACTGGAGACCTCATGCTAGGTTGGACGCCGAAGAGCAAATTATATATTTTAATTTTTTTTTATAACCGGCGGTAGACCTGCCACCTAGAACAGCCTTGAAATACTTCATCAGGTGAGGGGGCGCTATCGCTTATCATATATAGCATACTACGATCACAGTCTTCTTCAGAGTAACTATTATCGAGTTTAATATTTCCGAATAAATATATGAGCTAGAGTAGAATAATAACCGTGATACCGTTATTGCTCAAAATGTTTGAATTTATGTAGGACTTGATAGTTCAAAGTACAATTTTTATTGGAGTTTGAATGAGTCATTCAGGATCGAAATCGTGATTTAGACCCAAAGAAGTTTTCATTTTGGAATAACTGGCCTTTTGTCCAGAGCATGAATCAACACCCGAAGACGACGGAATAATAGACTTGTAGTAATCAAGGTCACTACGACATATCTTAAACTACTTTGTAACCTTTACCTTGAATTGTTTTCCTTGAGCGTTGTCGAAAAAAACTAGCTATTAAAATACTTTTATATTTGGAAACGGGTTATTAGTTAATATGTTAAACGGGTGTATTAGATAATAAGAATATTAATATTATTTGTGTTATGTTAACTAACAAGTTAAACGGGTTTTTCTTGTTCTAAACTGCTTTTACGCACTACGCCCAAATATCTGTGTATAAATAGGGACGTAGTGTCAATGCTTAATTAGATGCAATGTAACCAGACTTAAGAGTAGACCGATATGGTTAATATTTAAATACTACCATGAATAAAAAATACAAATCCAAGCAGCTTTGGTTAATCTGAACACCGGTGTAATATTATTACATCCTAAGATAAATCTCTACTATTTTATCAAAGATATTGAACAAAAATTAGAAAAATATTGTAATTCAACTTATGTTTTTGATTTGATTTTCGAAAAGATAATGAGTGAACACAAATAAAGTTTTTCATGTTCTACTCATGCAACAGAAGTTATTTACTTTATAGTTGTATTTTACATAACACACATATGAAAATAAGGCATTTTTCATAATATGCAAATAATAAAAATAAAATATTGAATAGCAACAAAAAAAAAATTGCAGTTATTTTCGACATAGATACCAAACATGTACTGTAAATATTAAATTTATAAAATATGTGGTAGGTTATTAAAGTAAAACTTTATTATAATTATTTACTTATTTATCTGTTAACATAGTTAATTGATAACTGTTGAACGATTTTTTATTTTTTCTGAATTTGTATAAATTGTTATTATTCGATGCAGCCGGTCAGATAGTAGAATAATTGAGTTTTTGAACCAGAAATTTCCATCATTATTTACTCGATGATAAATTATTAAATAGTAAAATACATAAAGTTGAAATAGAAGCACTATCAAAATAGCGGATTAAATAAGTACTAAGATGTCCTCAGTTTACGGGCACATTGATAAGGAACGAGTGCCGACTTTATCTTCTAAGACCGTGCACATCATTTAACTGGGACACGGTAATTGTAGAATATTACATTTCGATAAGTGGCGATACACAAATCACCCACATAGTTTTTGTGATAAGGTTATCTATTTTGTACGGTGAGACTCACGGTTTATGATATACAGGTTAGCTATCGTTAGTCCGCCACTCTGTTGGACTGCGTTACGGTTCAGTATTTCATATTTTCACCACACGTGTAAAGCGCTAGTAGTAGGTAGGGTCATATATTACTAAATAACTGACATATATGATATGTTAGATTGTATAATTATTGATATTATCCTTTGATTTGTATTATATAATGCAATTTAATAATTATTATTATAAATGTAATATAGATAATAAATAGAGCCCGGATTTATATGCCTTTAAAAAGTGTTAAATATGATGCAAATATGCAAAGAAAAAGTGCCTCAATATGCAATTATATGCATTATGTAACATAAATTATGTTACACTTTATAAAATGTTTTTTTTTTTTTTTAAAAAACACACTTTCATACCAAATAAAATTCTAAATATTTTATCAAAAACAAAAAAAAAAATAATATCCACTGCTTTATATTTCAAATCGTTTAAATCAATCTAAAACTTTAGTGAACTTAAAAACGAGAATACAAATAAAAATAAAAATAAATATTTTAAATTATTTAAAGATAACTACTCACAAAAAACGAATAGAAAACTTAAAAAAAAACAAAAAAAAAAAATTGAATTTATTAAAAACCCATTAAATATACATGTTGTATACATTTATGAACAAATGTGCAATAACCCTCGAAATATGCAAAATATGCAATATAAAATTTAGTGTATATATTCGGTGTGATATGAATCGTGGACATTTTAAACCTCCATAGACGTGCATACACTTAGTACAAATATGCAAATACATATAAATCCGGGCTCTAGTAATAAATACACTAATTTAGATATCATTTTGTCAATATCTAATTATCATTACTAATATATGACCAAATGGCAAATTATTATAAAGCATTCATTTATTTTCGAACAACTTTAAATGACGATTGATGCATCATCATTATTTAAAACTGTTGATTACACAGAAAAAAATGGCTAAGAAATTTAAAAGTAGTTTTTTTGATAATTATATATATATCACCTGTTGTATTATAGTTATGCTACTAAAAGAGTCACTTGCAATATGAATAATTAAAACAAATATAAATACTCAACAATATTTATCATGATTTTTTTAATTATACTTGATAATATTGTTGTCATCCAAAATGCATTATACCTTCTTCAAAAATGTATCAAAATATTTCAAATAAATTCAATAAAGTTACAAATTATTATTATTACTTATTTTATCTAATCTATAATAATTTCAATGGCCACAAAAGCTGTAATACTTTAAAAGCAAATTCAAATTAAATATCGAAGTGTATTAAAATGTTTTCAAATAATGCAGTTAAACAACAAAAGAAACAATATATTAATAAAAAATAAGCAAAAATCTGTATTATTTTAGTTTAGATTAGTTTGGCTATTTATTTTTTTTTCTATATGAATTGGGTTAGATGTGTTGAGTTTTAAGCTGTTTGATGTAGTTTTACACGAGAATTCCAA